TATACAATTCCTCTACTTTAGTATGTTTGGAGTTTTCTATAATTTAAAAATATGGTAAGAACGTGTCTAGCTTTATTTTTTTGTACATATCTGTCCAATTTTTCAAACACCATTTATATCCATAAAAAGAAATCAAGATTGTTCACCTTAAAATAAAAAAAGAGTGAGGTAAGCCAGAAGATTTCCAATATTTTATAAAGTTTTTAAAATTTTCTCTATTTTCCAGATAGAGGTACAGGAGGGATTTAAAACAGAAATGAACATCAGCTGTGTAGTGCCTCACTCTTGAAACTGAGGATAAACAAGGAACACCAGACAATTCAGGAGCACTTCTGACATGAAATAAAAACAAAATTAATAAGAAAAAAATGCCTTGGAGACAATAGAGGACATAAAAGAGAACTAAAGAAAAACAATTTATATCTTCAGAGAAATGTGAAAAGATAATGGACCCTATCACGAAAGATAATCAGCACTCTTGAAAGTTATAACCATAATTGTCAACATAAAAATTCAATGAAATGGTTTAAAATTGAGAAAACTCTCAGAAAAGACTCAAGTTTATCAATCAGATAGAAAATAGGAAATCAGAATACAAGGGTAATGGAGTTTTAAAAGGTTTATCATACACTTGAGAAATAAAGAGAAAATTTTAAGACTTCCCCTAGCCCAGGTGGTCTGACCTGCCACGACCTACAAGGCTAGGTTGGGGATCTGAAGGAGGGGCTGCCACACAAATGAAAACACTATACAAGAAATATCAATTTAGAAGGCACTGGGGGGCAGGTGGAGACCTCTTTCCGGAATAGGCACCCCGAGTTCTGGCCTGGTTCACTTTTTATTTACTTGAATATACATTTGCCCTGTAGCAATGCATACAGGCAGATCAAAGGTAAAGTTTGGTAAACAATGTAAGAATTATCAGCTCAGGAAATTGCCTTGAGCCATTGCGCCCACAGCAGGGCAATTTTATGCTGATTTTCAGCCCTGCTGAATATCAAAGTCCATTGGCCTTCCAATGTTTCTTTTTGCATTTTTATGCTAACTGCTGTTTGCTTTAGCCTCCAGGCAGTGACTCAGTGGTTGAGTTTCAACCCATGAACCACAAGGTCATGGTTTGATTCCCGGTCAGGGCACATGCCTGGATTTCGAGCTCCATCCCCAGTGTGGGAGTGCGGGAGGCAACTGATCAATGATTCTCTCTCATCACTGATGTTTCTATCTCTCCCTCTCCCTCCTCTCTAAAGTCAATCAAGTATAAAATTTCCCCTATATGACGTGTATCCTTAGGTTGAAAAGATTCACCGATTAACAGCAAGAAAGGAGACAGGGAACTGCAAGACATTATCATGCTGCCGAAACCGGTTTGGCTCAGTGGATAGAGCTGCGGACTGAGGGGTCCCGGGTTCGATTCCGGTCAAGGGCATGTACCTGGGTTGCGGGCACATCCCCAGTAGGAGATGTGCAAGAGGCAGCTGATCGATGTTTCTCGCTCATTGATGTTTCTAACTCTCTATCTCTCTCCCTTCCTCTCTGTAAAAAATCAATAAAATATATTTAAAAAAAAAAAAAGACATTATCATGCCATTTTATAGTTCTAGGTCTAAAAAGCTCTTAAAGATTTCTGGGGAGCATAGACGTGGGCTAAAAACTATAGAGAACACAAATAAAATGGCATTGGTTTTCACAATAACTTGGATAGTAAAAGACAATGGAGTTAATTTCTGAAAAATTCTATATCCAATTAACTGTCAAGTGTGAGCCTATTTGTTATATTAGCAGAGATTCAGAAAATTTATTTTCTACTATTTTTTCCCTAGGATCATAAGCTCCAGCAAGAGAAACAAGAAACAATGGCTTCCTAACAAAAAATGCTAGACTGTGATATAGTAGGCTTAGAAGGCAATGATTAGTTTGAAGCAGAAGAGCTGTTTCCAAGATTAGGTCTCCGAGGAAAGTGTGACTTGATGGAATAAAACGTGAAGCAGCATTTGAAAAGAATAAAGCTATGGTAATTACACAACAACAGCACAGAAAACAACAGAAAAGCTTCAAATAAAGACCATGAACTGTACAAGAGAAGGAATGTAATCACAGTTCAGGACTTGGCTCAGCAGACAATATTTAGAGCAGTGGTTCTCAACCCTTGGCTGCACATTAGAATCACCTGGGAATCTTTTTAAAATCCTGATTCCTGGGCCTCATTCTCCGGAAATTCCGTTTCTTTGTTATGGGGTGGGGCCACAACATTAGTAACAAAGAAACAAAATTTCCAAAGGATGAGGCCCAGAAATCAGGATTTTAAAAAGATTCCCAGGTGATTCTAATGTGCAGCCAAAGCTGAGAACCACTGAGTTAGAGGGTCATAATGTAAATGCTAATGAACCAACTAGAAAGTTAACAGAGGTAGCCAAGAAAGTTCTTATGAAATAATTAAATCTTCATACCTCATGAGAAAGAGAACATGGACACAGGGCTTGCAGCGAGGAGCCACGGGGGACTGTGCCTGAACACTTTTACCTCCCATTGGGACTTTACGTGGAAGAGGAGCAGGAGGACGCAGACCTTCACCGCAAGGAGGCGCACAGCCACACCCTCATTCAGCTGGAGGGGTGGCCACAGCCACAGGCCGGACGCACGTCTCTAAGGTCGGACCACCCAGGCCAAGCAGTGGCTGTTCCTCAGGATCCGGAGCTTGGCGAGTGGGGACTCCCAGAAGCAGGCCCAAGGCCTTGAGATGCCGCAGGTCGTCCAAAGCCAACCGCTGTCGGATGGCTGGCAGCCATCCCCAGCATTCGGCTGCACCCCACAGCCTCGACTGTGCCAGTCAGGAAGGGAAGTTGTATTTCAGTTCCAGGTCCAGAAAAGCAGCAAAATCAGGAACATGTGAAATGTTCCAGTGACCCCGAGGCTGACCTCAGGACCAGCTGCATTGAGTAATGACCCCCTGCCCTCGTGCTAGCCCATCAACCAGTGGAGAGCACAACCCTGAGAGGACACACCTGGGAAACTGCTGAATATTCTATTGAGATCTCCGCCCTTAAAACCCTTAGGATGGAGGACCCAGAGCGCTCTTCCTCCCGGGAGCACACCCCTGCCTTTCTCTGCCCCAAGCAGGTTACCATTAGCTGCCTCACTCCCGAGCTCCAAGGGCCCTTCCTTTACCTCTGTAACTTCTGGGAATTACTTTTTATACCTGTGATTAACCACATAAACATTCTCTTATAAATATAAAAAAAGAGAAAGTCAATAATGTAAATTGTTATCAAGAAACAGTAGTATGGCCCTAGATGGTTTGGCTCAGTGGATAGAGCGCCGGCCTGCAGACTCAAGGGTCCCAGGTTCGATTCTGGTTAAGGGCATGTACCTTGGTTGCGGGCACGTCCCCAGTGGGAGGTGTGCAGGAGGCAGCTGATCGATGTTTCTCTCTCATCGATGTTTCTGACTCTATCCCTCTCCCTTCCTCTCTGTAAAAAATCAATAAAATATATATCTTTTAAAAAACAGTAGTATGGTCATATAATTTGGAACATAAGATAAAAATGGCCAAGTAATATCATCTCTAGGCGGCAAAACTGGGAAATATGACAAAGGCTTAGGTACATACTAAATTTGTTTTTACACCATGGTAATTTTTAAAGTAAATGCAAGTAAAAGTTTAATTTTTGCTTTCTTCTTAGTATATATCCAGGCATATTTGCCAAAATAAGTAAACTATTCACACAATTTACATATACCTCATTTACTTTGCAGTGAAACATGATTTAAATATCCATCCTTTTAACAATGAAAACATTTCTATTAGAACCTGAATAGTGAAATTCAGATTTTTAAAGAAAGCTTTACAATAGCTCCTGTTTTCTGAGTACTTAGCCTGTTTTTAGAAATTGTTTGAAGCACTTTAGATTTGTAATTTTTATCACTTAATCTTCAAAATAACCCTATGAAGTTGGTCCTATTATAACACAACTTCATACATAAGAAAACTGGGTTCAGAGTTTATGCAACTTGCCCGAAGTCAAGTTATATCTAGACCTGGAATGCAAACATTCTGATGCCAAAGCTCTCAGTACATTTTCCTTCATCACCCAAAGGTAAGGATACAATTGATGAGTTTTGATTTCCAGGTTTCATTTTTTCTTTTTTATGAATTTTTAATTTATTTTACTAGAGGCCTGGTGCACGGATTTGTGCACTGGTGGGGTCCCTCGGCCTGGCCTGCGGGGATTGGGCCAAAACAGGCAGTCCAACATCCCCTGAGGGGTCCCAGATTGCGAGAGGGTGCAGGCCAAGTTGAGGGACCCCACCTGTGCACCGGGCCTCTAGTATTCATATAAGATCTTGTTAATCTCTTCCCGCCCTCCCCTCCTTCCCTCTGAGATTCATCAGTCTGTTCCAGGTTTCCATGCCTGTGCATTGAGCGTCTGCCCCCTGGTGGTCAGTGCATGTCATAGCTACTGAACTGTCACTTAGGCCTTTATATATAAAGATTGGTTTCAGGGAGGGAGGAGATAGAAACATCAATGATGAATCATTGATTGGCTGCCTCCTGCTGGGGATGGAGCCTGAAACCCAGGCACGTGCCCTGACCAGTGTCGAACCCAGTACCCTTCAGTCCGCAGGCCGACACTCTAGCCACTGAGCCAAACTGGTTAGGGCTCATTTTTTTTTCTTTATTAAGAAAACTGCATTGCCTTTCTGCTTTATAAATGTAAATGTGAACACTAACAAGATGGACATAAGAAAAACTATAAGCTACAAAATTAAAGAGCAGCATTAACGAGACGATGGATGTGACGTCATGTGTCAGCCCACTGTAACTCCACAGCACAATGACCACATATTACATTTGAAGGGCCCCAATTAAGTAAAAATGGCCCGACTGGAAGATTCAATTAGACCCAAAAATCTGCTTTTAAAAACCACTCTGTATATTAAGGAATTTATTGCTTTGGTACTCTTTGCATTAAGATGTCATGAAAGGATTAAATAGAAACATGTTAAGTCATTTGTTCATTTATTCATTAATATGTCAAATTCAGTTTTCTATACACTATGGTGTTTATTCCATTTTCTGTACTATTAGACATACATATTTAAAAAAATATTTAACTTATTTTTATGAAGAAATTAAATATTTTCTGGGGGGAAAATCATTTTATTTATTGTTCTCTATAGCAACAAACCTGAAACAAGTTTCATCCAACTCAACTAATTCATTTAAATACCTTTGCTCCATGGCAATTTGTTTAAAATTCTAGTTTAGTTTACACAACTCTATTCTACATAACACTGTTTTACCCTGTTACATAGTATATAATTAAAGAACATTTTTGTAATTAACATGTTTCTTTTGATATAATACAGAACAAGTTTTTCCCATCTCCCGCAAGCACTCAAATATATTAAAAAGGTATCCTTCTTAAAAGGCACACACATTTACAGGTTCAAATCTTTATTGTTTTAAAATTCTACATGTCTTTTACAATACAATATTTTGTTATTTAAATGACCTCTAAACAGTTAATGTACAATGAATATGTTTTTTCTGAAACGGAACCATGAATTATAATTTCATCAATATAATTATTCTTAACAGAATAATAAAGATGTTGGGAAGGTTTCCGTGCTGCATTTAAAGTGTCAATAGCACAGACTCTTCCCTTTAGAACCCAAGCGACCGATCTGTTGAAAGTGCTTTTAAAGACTGATAATTATGGCTGATCTTAAAAATCAATCAATCAAATTGAGTTCCTTTTTGTTTTGAAACATCAAAGGGCATTAAAAAAATAAATGAAACAATTTGCTTTAGTAATCTACAGAGGCAAACTCAAAATTATGATTATCTGCATGCAATAACACTCCTCTTTCTTTAAATAGTTTTGAAGAATTTATACATTTTATAAAGAATGTGTTCAGAGTGCAAGTTTTTGATACTGATTTCACAAAAGGACAAATGCTGGTAATAACAACTAACATTTACTATCTAAGTTCAAGCTAATGTATATGTAACAGGCAATTAATATGGCTAATCATAAGCCACAATGCACAGGGTATGCCCTTTGAAAAATGAACGAGTTTGGTCCGCATTTCATTTGGATAAAAACAAAACCAAAACCAAAACCATTTTAATTCAGCCAAATGTCTTGTTAAATTTATTGTTCTAAAGGGTATGTAGCCAGTTAAAAAGTAAATGATGTACACCAGTGAAGCATATTGTCACGCTGACTTTTGTATAAAAAGATGGCTTGCTGTTTTTGGAGTGATGAATGAACACTGTAGGATAAATCAGGAAAATGTCACAGAATGTATTAATTTCTTCCAAGTTATACTTTCTTATTCCACGACACAGCTTTCACTCTGTAAAACTTTGTTCCCAAAGGAACTTTAAATCTGTTTTGTGCCTAAGAAAAAAAGAAACCAAATTACACAGGTGCCATCATATCATACTACTCAATGCTAGAGTATTGGCGGGAGGGGGGGTTCTTGGTCAAACTACACAAGATCTTCCCCTCACCAGGTGAAAATATATTGAGCCACTAGTACTGATGAAGAATATAGTACAAAGTGAGCCATAAGTCATTATTTTAAAGTATCAAAGAAACTTCAGTGCTACACAGTTTAAGTTCTATAAGTGTTTTGGAGCAAAGGGGGCCAAAATTAGAGTTAGGAAATATGCTCACTAGATTTCACTGATTGTGTTGTACTGGCACTGCTGATAAGACAGGTGCATTTTTAGCCATCAATATTATACTTCAATGGGAGTCAAGTATGAAAATAAGAAAATATCACTCTATTTATAAATAGATTCACTTTTAATCAGCAGTTAGGTTCCCATTAAAGGTCTCACTCAAGAGAGCGAAAAGACCAAGACAGCACTATGCAAGATTTCTATATAAAGTAGTATAAGAATTTTCTACATAATTCCTAGGTTTATAACATATGATATAGTTTTTACCTTTTTGGCTTGACAGTATTCCTTTTCCATTACTTTTCCAAGAACCCAGGGTCTTCTAGATACACCTGAAGCTATTAAATCAAGAGATTAGTTTCTTTTTAAAAGCACAGTTATAATTATCATAAAATGTAATTGTCAGAATCAAAACAGACCAATGCAAGACTGCTGAAATCACGAAAATGTGTAACCATTTTCAAAACAACACTGAATTCAGTCTACTTTTCAACCAGTAATTTTGATTTCATTTACTCATTAAATATAGGTGGTAAATCAAATCACAGAACTAACAAAATTAAAGATATACAAATAATCTAAGTATAAAATATAAACAAATCTAGAAATTCTCTAAGTTAGCTCAACAGTGCCATCTACTGAAAGTGCTAAGATGACCTTTTCCATTCTGAAAACAGGCAAAGTTATGCAGACAAAACTTATTTTCTAGATTCTAAGAAAAGCCCTGCTTTTTGAGAGGCACTGCTTTTACCTCCAATGCTCAGGGGCAGGAACTGCACCTTTCTCCCGTCCGTACCCACAGTGCATGGAAGGGCGAACACAGTCAGTGCACAATAAATAACCGGCAAGTCTACAAGGGTGGTGCTTGAGCAAAGGGGAGGTGGAAAACGTGGGAGGAGACGGAATGGAAAGGCTTGCCCTGGAGCCCAGGTGTGACAAACTAATACTCATTCTCTTTCAATTCATCTGAAATTCTCATAAAAAGTTGATTTCAAAAGTTCTTTGGCCAATAAATTATCTGTTTCGATAAGTCTTTGAGATTCCCAAGAGAAGCCAAAATTAATTTGTATGCCATAAATATAAATAAAAGATATCCTTGCCGGGGGGTAGGGGAGGCCAGGGGAAGGTCAATGGGGAAAAAAAGGAGACATATGTACTACTATTTGTAATACTTTAAACAAGAAAATAAAATTTAAAAAAAATTAAAATAAATTTAAAAAAAGATATCCTGAAAAACCATCAGAAATGTACATACATAGAGACTATCACATAATAGACAGAGAAGCCCCTAGACCACAGGATGTGAAAAATACTATAAATGCTGTAATATAGCATTTCCGATAATTCGTTTATGAAAAGACTCATTCTAAAATGAAATGCTTATGTTTTATGAATGAGGACTAAAAAGTCCCACTGTCTCAGACATAAAAACACTCTGCGAGTCCACACACCCCTAGGACAGTGGCACAGGGGTACTATATCCCCTGCTCATAATCCTCACCAAAAAAAAAAGAAAAGAGGGGGGAGCGTGTAAGGAGGATGTGGAGTACCATGGTAAATTAAGACTGTTGCCCTAGCCGGTTTGGCTCTGTGGATAATAGAACGTTGGCCTGCAGACTGAAGGGTCCCAGGTTCAATTCCAGTCAAGAGCATATGCCCAAGTTGCAGGCTTGATCCCCAGTAGGCGGCATGCAGGAGGCAGTCAATCAATGATTCTCTTTCATCATTGATGTTTCTAAGTCTTTCTCCCTCTCCCTTCCTCTCTGAAATCAGTAAAAAATATATATTTTTTAAAAAGACTGTTAAATTATTTTCTGCAAGACTTGTGAGTGCCTTTAAAATTATAATGTGCACTGTGAATCTGAGTATACAAAATTTAAAAACTGAATTCCCTCCCTGTCCTTTGGATATGCACATTGAAAATATTTAAAGATAAAGAACCATGATATAACTTCGCCTCATATGGTTCTGGAAACAACAATGTGCACATAAAACACTGTATATATTTTTGTATTTGTACATTCAGACATACACATATAGAAATAATAGAAATAGGGGAAAATGTTAATAAAAGATGAACATGAGTAAAGGTATATGGGTTTTTTTGCACTATACCTATGCTACTTTATGATAAATTTTTTAAAAAATTTTCAAATGAAAAGCTTAAACAAATAAAAAGCAAAAAAATACAAAAAAAATCACAGAAGAAAATATCAAGCTCATTGTTTTCAAGGTACAAAGCCCACTCATTTCTCATGTATTTATGGACATTCTATGTAATCCACCACCAGCAGCCACAGCAGAGTGATTGTGATGTTGGCCTACTTCAGAAATTGGTATTTGACCAGGTTATCATTCCAAATAGAAACAGCAATCTAAGTACACATACATTCGTGTTTTTCTATTGAGGTGAAGTATCCCAGGGTATCATCCTGTGCTTTTAGAATTCTTCCAAGTAATAGAAAAAATGGAAAAGTGACAGGGCATAAAGGGGACCCCTCCCCGACCACTTTGTCCAGCACTATTTAGATCTCTGTGTGTCCACTGCAGCCTAATTATTGCTCTCCCTCTGGGGCCAGCGGGGATGAAGATGAGAAGAGACCCAGCTTGCCTGGGGCTCCTGCTCATTGAATAATTACGTTACCACTGTTTCATGAGCCTAACACTGAAAAACTTTCCTTCTAAACGGTGAATACTTTTTCCCACCAGCTTTTAAAATACAAAAATCATGGCCCACTAATGAGTGTATATCCAAAAACAATCAGTTAAAACCATAGGCAGAACTACTACAGAATGTGAATTCTTTGTCCTAACACAACTGCATCTGAAATTTTATATTCATTAACTCTAGGGGGCAGAAAAATGCAAATATAAACGAATGAGAGAACAGGAATAGCTATGAAGAGGAATGCAGCCAAGCAGCAGGCTGACACACAGAAACACAGACAATGGTTTTCCCAAATCAAACAAAAGCCTGTCGTAAGGACTGGGAACAGAAGGAGCTAGCCGTGAGGACAAGTACCACCCATCATTAAAAAATCAGTGTGAGAGGGAGTGGAGTAGGATACATGTATATTCTTTTCCCTCCCTAAATGGACTGATAACTACACTGGGCTGGCAAGAAAATGCTTCTTACCATTGGTCAGTATAGTGATAGCCGGTCACTGGAAAAATAATCCCCTGCCCCTTCGTCAGCTTGGTCTTATTTTGAGGAAGGAAAGTATGTACTAGATAAAAG